TGAGGAACTTTCCGACTGTTGTCCAAGTTATTCCATGTCACATTCCTATGGTCTGTGTATGCAAGCCCTGATTCTTCCAGGTTGTCACACACTTGGTGTTATTTTTCTTGGTAATTCTAGCCATCCGGGGTGTGAGGTGGTAGCTCATTACTTTGACTTGCATGCCCAGATGACTATAGATATGGGGCATCTCATGTGGCTGTTGGCCTTTTGTATAGCTATCTATTCAGACTAATTGCCTACTTTAAAAAAAATCATTTTATTGGGGAACCCTACAACTCTTATCACAATCTATACATCCATCCATTGTATCAAGCATATTTGTACATATGTTGCCATCATCATTTTCTAAACATTTTCTTTCTACTTGAGCCCTTGGTATCAGCTTCTCAATTTTCCCCCTCCCTCCCTCATGAACCCTTGATAATTTATAATTATTTTTTCTTGTCTTACACTGACCCATGTTTTTCTTCACCCACTTTTCTGTTGTCCGCCCCCCAACCTTCCCCTTCCCCTCCTGGTATCGCTACTCTCAATATTGGGCCTGAGGGGTTTATCTGTCCTGGATTCCCTGTGTTTCCAGCTCTTATCTGAACCCTGTGTACATGCTCTGGTCCAGCTGGATTTGTAAGGTAGAATTGGGGTCACAATAGTTGGTGGGCTGGGAGGAAGTGTTAAAGAACTAGAGGAAAGTTGTATGTTTCATTGATGCTACACTGCACCCTGACTGGTTTGCCTCCTCCCCAAGACCCTTCTGTAAGGGGATGTTCCAATTGCCTACAGATGGGCTTTGGGTCTCCACTCCGCACTCCCCCTCATTCACTCCCCCTCATTCACAATGATGTTTTTTTTGTTTTGGGTCTTTGGTGCCTAATACCTGTTCCTATCGACACCTCATGATCACACAGGCTGGTGTGCTTCTTCCATGTGGGCTTTGTTGCTTCTCAGCTAGATGGCCGCTTATTTATCTTCAAGCCTTTAAGACCCCAGACGCTTTATCTTTTGATAGCTGGGCACCATCAGCTTTCTTCACCACATTTGCTTATGCGCCTACTTTGTCTTCAGTGATCATATCAGGAAGGTGAGCATCACGGAATGCCAGGTTAATAGAACAAAGTGTTCTTGTATTGAGGGAGTACTTGAGTAGACATTTGCCCACTGTTTAATTGGGTTGTTTATCTTTATGTTGTTGATTTATGGGCATTTTATTTATATTCTAGAGTGCTGTGAAACACAAAACTTAAAGGCCTTGTGAAAGGCAGTCTGTTAAAATATCACGAACAATGGAACTTGTCCATTGTTTGATGTGATGCATTCAATCCTGGGAACTGGGCCCAAGGAAATGATTAAGGAAAATAAAAAAGCCACTGTGTGTACAAACACTATGGGCACATCAGTTAACAGGAAAAATCAAAACGGCTCCCAAGTGCAGGCGCATAATTATGGAAGATCATGCAGCCATTAGAATGGTAAATGTGGTTATGTATGATTACAAAGTCACCGGCTATCCAGTCAGATTAGAAGAGAGAGTTGGGGCGGGGTAAGACAGTGAATCTCTGTGCCATGTTGTTACAATGTCACATTTGAAAGTAATATTTAAAAGTAAAGACTTGCCAAGTGTTATCTAAGTTCCTGAGTGGCAGAGAGCCCCTTAGGTGCTCATCAACAGGTTGGCAGTTATAGTCCACCCAGAGGTGCCTCAGAACAAAGACTTGGCAGTCTACTCTCCCCCGCCCCCCTAAATAAGTCACCAAAAACCTTATGGAGCACAGTTCTACTGACACTTAAAACCAAAAAAATCCAATTCACGGAGTCAATTCCGACTCATGGTGACCCTATAGGGCCGAACAGAGCTGCCCCTGTGGGTTTCGGAGACTAACACTCCATGGGAATAGAAAGTCAAGTCTTTCTCCTGAGGAGCAGCTGGTTGGTTCAGACTTCGGACCTTTTGGTTCGCAGCCCAGCACGTAACCGTCGTGGCACCAAGGCTCCTGACGTTCAAGTGGACGGGGTTTTTGGTTGAGGGGCATTTAGCTCATTGTTGGGTTTTTATAGTCACAGACATTGTTGTAAAGAACAGCAGTGCACACGCCTTCAGAGAGGTTTCTGGAAGTTGAACGGGGCCTGAGGGTGCTGAAGGCACACACTTCAAGGGCACCTCTTGGCCGTCTCTGTGCAGGACCTCAGCCTGCAAAGGCACCCCCAACACTGAGGAGTCACCATCCCCTCATGTGAAGGCTTCCATCTTTACTCCACCTGTCCTCCTCAAGTTCCAGCCTGTACCCAGACCCAAAGATGACTCAGAGAATGACCCTGGCAACTCGGAGGGGCCGCCTCACCACAGGAGCCCGTAGCCACGTCCCTACAGATGTGAACTGAAGGGTGAATAAAGTTGCTGAGGACTGCTCTGCTTGTGCTCTGCTTGTGCTGCAGGTGGGTGCGGGGTTTCCCAGGGGTGGTTGAGCGCACCCTCTCTCTACTCTGAGGGGAGGCCCTTTGCCCGAGCCTCCACACCGCAGACAATCAAGTCGGTACTCTCACCGGTACCCAGCCACTTCACTTTGTCCAAGGAATGGAAGCTGTCTTGACCTAACTGAACTGCTGCACATCTATCATCTTTCCTACACCCAAGCCTCATTCAGTACGCAGGTTCCAGACGCTGGCACGTTGCTCTCCCACTTGACACGTTCCTAAGGATTGCCAAAGGCGGGCTATTGTTGTAGCCCACCCAGAGGTGCCTCAGAACCAAGACTTGGAAGTCTTCTCTCATCCCCACCCCCTGCCACCACCAAAACAAAAAATCAGGGCCAATCTAACCTTGACATCAAACCCCCATATGAGACTCTTCACTGAACGTCCCAAGACACTGATGCTGAACCCCTGTGTGTGCTCCACACCTTTCTTGCTGTTGGGTCCCATGGAGTTGGTTCTGACCCATAGCCACCTTCAGCACCACAGAACCAAACACTGCCCAGTCTTGTGCCAGCCTCACAATCGTTCCCATGCTTGAGCCTGTAGTTGCAGCCATGGTGTCAGCACTTTAACATTGGATTGCACCCTGTGGGGAGTTACATCCTATCCTAGGGAAATCATCCCAAGATTATCATCGTGGGGGGAGAACAGATTTTCCACCGGAATTTGCCTTGAAGAGAGAGAAACATGGGACAGATTGACGCACTGTCAAGGTTAAGTCTGACCGAAACTGAAAAGTCGTACCTGGTTCTTTTTATACAGAGTTGGGAGTGGTTTGGTTCTCACAGCGGCTGAGCTAAATATAACCTAACTTCTGGAAGACCTTTATCAAATGCTCTATGTTAAAGACAGGAGAGACCTCTTGTTGATTGATCTATTGGCCCAGAATTGGGAAGGACAAAGGAGATGCCTCCTATTTGCAATATTTAGGGAGGGATCTTCCTTATGGCTACCCTTATCCTTTGTGGACCTTCCTTCTTCACCCAACTATTTTTCATCTGTGTTCCC